CCAATGGCTCCGCCAGCAAAAAGAATATGACTTTTTGACATTTAAGCGTTTGTCGCATTGAGAAACATGTATTTTTGATGTCAAAAAGCTTGTTTGTGATTATACTGACTTGCTACATCGAAAGAACATGTGTAGGTAGAATCGTAGGTAGGTCGACTGGTTTCATAAAAATTTGTTACATAGTTCAAACTGTCCGGAAATCGAAAAAAAGCTGATGGCCTTTTCTCTAAAGTACAATTCGTGTAACGTATCGACAGTTTGTGATCCTTTTCAAATTAATCGAATTTGGCTGTTATTTTCAGAGTACATGTAATGCCAAATGCTGTAAGCTAATGTCAACTGATTTATTAATTACTAGTCTTACAAAAAAAAAAACTAACTATTGTAAGAATCACTTATATTTTCATCAAATAAAGCGAATCGTAAAAATGTTCAAATATTCAAAATCATTTTTTGATGTAATTTTTTGATATTTAAATTTCTGATGATTTTGAGAGCTTTTTAAGGAAATTCCTTCTAAGCGATGCGGAAGAAAAAGAGCAAACTAGGTTGTACTTCGATCTTAGCTATTACGTACCTACGGTGAGATTATAAACATTTCGCTGTAAGGACCGCCGAAGTTTTATAAGCCAACCTCGCAGATAAAACTATTAAATTGTGTGCTCTAGATGCTGTCAAAGTATTACACTGTGAATGTTTTATCAGCACAACAGAGTTACGAACTCTACCTCTCCGAAAGCCAGCTACTTTGAGAAAGACGTTACAAACTTGGAGCAGAGAAAACGAAATTTACTTTTTTTTTTACACACATATATCGCATTACAACGTCATACAGAAATGTATATTATGTTGAAGCTATAAAAGAAAGTTGCAAAGTTGTAATACATAAATATTTTAACTTATTTTATCAAAAAATTACATTTTACTATTTTCTGTCATATTTTATACGTATATCTGTCATATTTATACGTACTCCAAAAAATATTTCTAAATTGGCAGCAACGTGAATAAAACAATAGAGAAATTGAATTAATTAGAGTTAATGCTTAAAAGTACTTTACAGATACTATAAATAATATACTATAAAAAGATAACTAAAACCGCATTGTTGTATCGCTATATAAAATTTGCGTGCAGCTGTAATTAGTACGTTGAATTTGTATGTGTGTGTGAAATGGTTATTTATGTCAATACACTGCACGTTCAAACGAAATTGTTCTAGCACAGAGAAAATAGCAGTATCGAATTATCAATAACATTATTTGTGTATTCGTTATATTTGAAATAGTAGAAAAGAGACATAGGAGAAAAAAGAGAATGACAAAAACTGAGGAAAATTGGAATGAGAGGGGTAAGAGGAGAAGGGAGAGAGGGAGAGGAGAGAGAGAGAGAGAGAGAGAGAGAAATACAGCTTCATTTGCAATCGACAGCGAGACCATTAATCAGTGCAAACTTGATTAAGAGTCGTGATATGCTGATCTTCCTATTCTCTCTCTTTCATGACGAGGAATTTTGGGATTTAATTTAATCTGATTTACTTTCGTTACATCACACTGCTTCGCAGCAGTGTAATTGAAACGTTACTTGGGATATTCTCAGATAATTCCGGCATATGCCATGCGAAATTATAAATCAACAATAGCTGTTGGATGAGCGAAATATTCTCTGGGAGATTAAAGCTTATATTACCACATTTACGACTATATATATATATAATAATACGTTGCTCTGGATATGTGAAAAGTAAAATAAGATATAATTTCTTAAAAAAAATTCACAAAATGAAAAAGTTATTACGTCAATAGAGATATAATCGTACTCGTTACAACGCGAAAGTTTATATATGAAACAATTGCAATACTCTTGTTTCCTTAAATAAATTGAAACGTAAAAATTTTCCTTGAACAAAAGTTTTCTTCCTTCAACAGACGATCGCGAAACCTTTTCCGGATCGTCGAAGACGATTCTCAAACGTCACGAGAAGCATTTTTGCAGCTTTCCTGCAGAGAAAAGTCAGATTGCTAACGGTAAAGAGGTTTCAATGATACTCGTTGGGGTCATTGACGATCTCAGCGAAGAAACTTATCGTGGGATATGTCTTTTAAAGCAAAGTTGCATGTTGACATGTAGCATAATTTAGTCGTCCTCTTGCATTTCTGAGAATCGCGTTTCCGTGATATATTCGTTAATATTACTCGTTAATATTAATCACTACAATCGAAAACTTATGATTTATAGCGATTATTTCTCCATTTTGTACTTTTTTACACTAATTATACTTTATAATTAGTGATGCAAGTTCTTGAATAGAAAACTTTCAAAAGTAAATGAATCCGAATATGAGGTATTATCTGATTCTCTTCTTTTCCCCTTTTAAAGTAATAATCGAAATAATTGATAAAATAATTGTTTGATGAAAAAATTTCAATGCTCGAAGCGTAGATACGAAATGTTGTGACATTCTGCGGTTTGCAAACATTATTGTCAGCATTATCAGAAAGAAATGCAATATCTATGACGCATATACGATAATATGAACGCCTGATTAAAATTAATGTTAGCCGAGGGTTACAAAAATTATATGCTCCAACGGCTTGCACTTTAGATAACGAGTGGAAAAATGACTATTTGCGACTGACGTTGTTGAAGCAACGCTGCGTAAAAAGATAAATAACACACACTTTATCAAGACAAACAACAAGAAAATATAAAACGGAATGAAAGGGTAATAAAATAAAAAGAAATTTTATATGTTCGAGAATTGTAGCGCAGTGTGAAGCAAAAGTAGTAGTGCTTCGCGACAATAATGTTACTTTTGCTTCCTGTACACAGAGAAGCCTTTTAAAATCTTTCCCTCCAAACTTTTTTTTCTGCATTATATATCTTGCATTATATAGTTACATATTTTTCTCTTAGAAGAAAAAATTAATGAGTATTTATTCTAAAATGAACAAATAACTTTAATTGCATTTTAATATGAAATCCAATACACATTAAATGCTGCATGAATAAGAAATTATTGACTTGCACTTTCATTATATGACAGAATTTATATTTCGTTTTTACATCTTACTGGCAGTAAAATGTACTGCAATTTTGGTGTTTTTTTTTTTCAAACGATCTTCACGCCGCGAACATTTGTCGTTTACCACCATTTTACAGTCGCAGTAAATTACGTCTAGTTTAAATGCTTCACCCGTTTTACTACGAGTGAATATTTTCTCAACGAAGCACGTCAACTGCTTCGCTGTGCTACATCGAATGCTATTCTTCACTGTATAGCGATTAAATTAATTATTTCGAGGTGCGGACTGTGAATTTCATTTAGATGTCTCTATTGTATCTTTGCGTTGTAATTGTAGATTGCAATGTTTGTTAAAAAATTGTCTGATGTTAAGACGATTTCTTGAGAGATAAGCCTTTTGTGGGGCTGTTATATGTTTTATGTAAATTCATGTTTATATATTATATCTTTTATATAATATATTACAGTTTTTATACTATACATTTTATATATGTATATTACAATTTTTATATAATTCAAATTTTCTTGACATTTTAATAATAATTATATTTAATATCATTGTTATTAAAAGTATGTTAAAATATTTAAATATTCATATAAATTATTTGATGAGAAACCGTAGCGAATATATGTCCAATAATAATTTCATTTCATTTCGATGAAGATTTCGATAAAGATCTACATATATCTATAACATATATAAAAACTTTTTTCAATTTATTTTTTATTAAAAAAGCTCCAGAGTTTGAGCAGAAAATCTAAATTTATTTGCGAGTATCTTGTATACGCTACAATTTCTTTTTATTTTCGAGATACGATTAGCAAAGTATAATTGTTATCTCTCTAATTAGAGTATTGATTAATGCCCTTGCAAACGCCTACGTCCGCGCGCGTACTATAGCCTATATTCGTTCGAATTTAAATAGTTACGTTCGTTCTTTGAGTGAATTATTTATTATCTTACAGGGGCTATGCGCTCTTGATAAATAAAATTGTCGTTATTTATATTCACGATCCACAGTCAGGCTGTGGCATATTCAGGACAGGCTTGAGAATAAACTGAGTTTATAGCTGCATATAGTGCAAGTATAAGATGTCCTTCAAGATGTCGCCTTATATCGCGTTTTCCCAAGTTAATCTTAAAACACGTCAGGTTTATTTTATCTGACGATCTTAAAGGAAAATTTCACAGTGACGTTTCGGGGATATAGCGTAAAATGTGTTTCATGTAAAACTGATAACTCTCGAGTTATAAATTTTGAGTTTACTTCCTTCAGAGTTTTGTCAAGTTCAAAATTAATTGCGTCGTTCGTCTTGTCGTTGAAAACCTGGCGCGCTCTCATCGTACATTTTACTAGCCGTCGTATCTGCGTGTTTTAACGCCTGACAAATGTTGCACGATTTTACCGGATTCCGTTCTGGATCAAGGGTCACCCGAGAGAAGGTGACGTCAAGTTGAAGAATTGTAGCACGTTTCAACGAACATCACGTCGTCTCCGTAAAAAAAATGACACATGGCCAGTGTTAAACGTGAGATAGGAGCGTGGGCGGTTGATAAATCTGAAACTTTCACTTCCGCCAGGTTTACTCCTTAGTCGTGAAAACTTTCAAGGTTGAGACCCAGCGTTTTTAACGATATTTAAATACCAGTTTGTAGCACGCAAGTGAGCTGTCCGAGATCTACATTCAGGACACTAGATTACGTGGAAAATGCAGTTAATTTCGCACTCTTCATAAATAAATTACATTATTCGGAAACTCTCCGCTATTTGCATGTAGTTGCGAGGAGCACAAGGTTCTTGACTCGATTTTACTTTGGTATGCATATGTAGCGAGTTGGAGATAACTAGTTAGATATAAGATTCGCTGTCGCACTATATTAAGAGATTATCGCTACTCTGACAAATCATTCTTCATCAGACATATGCCGAAATGACTATAATACGTCAATCATTCTAGCTGGCAATTCACTCACCTTCCATAGTCATATTATCTCCCAATTTCATCTCGATAGCGGTCCACTTTTCCGCACACTCACGCGGCACTCATTAAGCGCCGATTAACAGGATCGGTCGACACTGATTTCCTAAGCTTCATTCTTCCTCGCTTCTTCACACTTTTTTTATCTCGATCTGACGACTCAATTACTTCGTTCGCCGCGCGTTCATTCGCGGACACTCGTCAATTTGTCATGTGCACTTGTCACTCGCGCGCGTAACCTTAATCGCAACGGGTCATCGTTAATGTCTCCTTTTCGGCTCGTAAATCGAAATACTTTCTGCAAAACGGATTGAACCGTCGATTGGACCTCTATACCGATTTCTCGATTTTTCGACGCACGATAAAGTCGCCTCACGACGAAATTGGGTCTTTGAATTCTTCGTGCCGAATACGTACGTCCTGAAACGATCTACCTCTGATAGTCTCTGAAGGCGGACGCTTCGTTCGTGTCTGTAAAACAAAAGTAGACACCGATTACAGTTTCAATAGATATCGACCATCAAATATTATATGGGAATTGAAACGTGAAAAATCGACTGTGACGTACATCCGGATATCGCAAAATGGATCTGGATAAAATGGATCATGAAGTACATATACGCAAAACGGAGTATGCTAATTAAACGTTCTCTGTAATTATGTTTGCGTAATATAATTCGTAGCAAATTGTGTACTATGCGTGATATTTGTAAACCTTGCACGGCTTGCAACAATTCCATACTAATTTCAAAGCATGCAATTTATGCTGGGAATTGATAGGATCAAATGAAGAGGATAATAGCCGCAATGCGCGGTAATATTCAGAATTTTCGCACATGCATATCTGCGCCGGATGCCTTTAGCTTAGGCTTGGAGATATACGTGGCTGCTGACCTTTCGAGAAGGATAAGGAGTTGATTACAAGCGACGCCGCAGGTGTTTTGGAAGGCGAATAGCCCACGCGTCAGCGAGATAACGTTGTTGCGTTTAATGCGTCGCGACCGTACCGGCGGCGGCGTGGAAGTTATGTTAATACGAGAAGTCAGTTATTTTACCACTTTTCTCGCTTGCATAAAAAAGCAGCAATCGGACGGGTACCCTGCACTTTCCATGAGCTTCGTGAATTTTTAACGAGAAGAGCCAGGTTACGCTCGTTATTTCGCGAAAATTAAACATCGCAGTTAACATTTTGTTTCCTTTCGGACTGTGATTGTGAGAAATATTCCGATTCTGATTCCCTCTCGCTCTGCCGTTTCGACTTATTTTTCGATTTCCATATTCTGAAATATGGAAATCTGCTGACGATCTAATTAAGGAATTGATGGCAAGCTGCAAATACGTGCTGCGGTATGCGCGTGTTGTCAGATTCAATCGGTCGTTTCTCCTACGTGCATTGCGTAACGTGACGGGGTGCACCTGAGAGTATCTCTCTATCTACGTGTTACATGATCCTCTCAAATGCACTGAGAAGCATAACACGTCGCAATTGTATTCCGGCAATTCCAACGTGCTCCTGCCCCAGTCGGGCACAATCCTGTATTGTATCGCGCTTGTAACGCGAGAGATTGCGATTCTCCTCTACCTGCGCGTGATTATTATTTCGGGATTAATGTTTACCAGCGCGTCGACAGGTGCAAAAATTGCATTATCGGATCTTATTAATCAACTGTAATAGCATATATCGAAACAATTAACGCGTAATGTATAAAATAGGGAGATTTATTACACTCCACCTGCGTCGAATTATATATATATATATATATATATATATATATATACGATCTTAACTCAATACATACTTGATCGTTAATTGTTAATTTAATTTTTTATCCGAGAATATTAGCAACATATATTGTAATAAGCACATGTAAAATGTCTGATGCAGTGAACACCTACACACAATTGTAATGTACGTTGATCAAATCTGCAATAAAACTTATTTAATTATTTGTCGAAGATACAACGGGTAAACTAGTAACTAGTAAACTAGTGTGAAATATTGAGAAACTAAAACTATACGAGGGGTCAGGTGTATCTTTAGGGCTAGTTGTAATTCTGTGGGCGTTTAATTTTGCGCTTGATATGTTTACCTAGTATATTAGAGTATACGTTAGGTAAAGCGTTGAGCTACCACAGCCCGCGTCATTCTGTGGCTTGGAGCTAAAGCGAAATAGCTGAACGTAATGGCGGACATAATGAACATAATTCGTTCATTTACCTTTAATGCCACAGAACCACATTGGTTCGTCGAGCTAAATGTGTACATAAGACTGCCTATTCTTTCGAGCCGTAAAAGAATATTGCATGTCCTAAATTTTAAATTACATCTTTTTTTTTCAATATTTTTCCTTCAAGCAGGAGATAATATTGATCGCATTTATTATTTACAATTTCCGTTCTTCTATCTGTAAATCACATACTGTAACATTTTAATTCAAGGCTTTAGATATTATTAGATATTATTAAAATGAGATATCATATAAAAGGGTCCTCAAAGAGAATATCTGAATAGTATCAGGGAAGAGCTTATTCTTTTCATAATGGTTATAATGCTTTGTTGTGAAGCTATCAAAAGAGATACAGTTGATCTGACTTTCATGTTAGAATTTTACGAGAAAATCTCCCTTGTTTCCGTGGCGCCATTAGATAGATTATCTTTCTTTGAAAAATATTGGACAGGCAAACAATATCATCCTGCTCCCTGAACCGCGACCGAAAGATGACGGCTGTTCTAATTCGTAGAAACGGAAGAGGAGTATTTTTGTTTTGCTTCCTGGCGTCGTCGTTACGAAAAGTATAAGATATAAAGATATAGAGTTATAAATATGCAAGTTTAAAATAGCACTTAATGTCCGCAAAATGTCACAACCATACTAATAATTAATATGATTACATGCACAGTTTTTTTTAGAATTAAAATTCATAAGAAATATTCCCTTTTTTTGAAAACTAACATTTCCATGACATTTTAGATTGCAGAATTGACCGAACTATATTAGCTAGATAGAAGAACAGAAATTGTAAATAATAAATGCGATCAATATTACTCCTGCTTGAAAACAGAAAGAAAGATAAAAAAAAAGAACGGAATTAAAAATTTAGGACAGCTAAATGCCAATGTTAACAAATTTTGCAAATTTAAAGATTTATCACAAAAAATGACTATCAAGTAGACAAAGTTCGTTGCGAGAAGATAACGAATTCTTTTGTTTGTAATATATTCTTTTAAGAAATCAAAAGAAAGAACAAAGACGTAAGACGGCATCAAGAACTTTCTTCACCAAAACCACGAGCAAATAGAGAGAGAGACTCCCAATTTTGTCACTGCTTACGTAAACCTCCCCGGGCGCTATATTCAAAGGATCAAACCCGGTCGCCGATTTGCGCGCTTATTCTCGACGTTCCTTTGATGTGCCGACGCGATGTGTCTTCGCAAATAGTTGACGCAGCGTTTGGCGTGACGCACTGGAACTATTTCGCGTTTAGCAAATTACGCCGTCACTATTTCGCGCAACGCGAGCATTTATTTAACCAACCTGCCATTTCAGTCTGCGCGTAGAGTATGCGCTAATGGAGTATCGGGAAAATGGTCGATTATTTAAGGTGAAATTGAACATCTCGCGGAGACATTGCTGATTTTGCATCGCCGACAAGAACAGACGTAAAACGAAATGTGCGATGCTGAATAAGAAGTACCAGCCTGGTAATAGCGATAAAAAACATAATAGAAGAAAATTTACCTAAGAGCTCAAATTTTAAGAAGAGAAGATATTCGACTATCAAATTTATGTCGAATATAGATGCACTAAGGGAACACACATAAAGGGACAAACTTTATTAGATAACTGTCGCATGCTTCGCAATAGAACGGGGAATATCTGTGCGTGTATAGTCATGTAGTTTGTTACGGTTATCGCATTGTATCGCAGCGATGTACAGAATGATGATATCTGCCGATGGAAACAGATACACACACAACACATACATACACACGCAGAGGAATAACCAAAGTTGGTAATATGTATTTAAATGAGGGGCCAGCTTTTATGTCACACGGCGACAGACGCGCGGCGTTACAGTTCGATTGCGCGCACGTTATTATGTGTCTAAATTGGAGAAAGGGCCGAGTTTAAAGAGATAGCGGTATGCCCATTTCCAGAACGGATATATTCCCTCCGACTGTGCTGTAAGGTATATATTCGCTCGCGGTCCGCGTTTGTCTCGCGCGGTCGTTACGTGCCCGGGCTTTGACATAAACGCGGCTACTGTAAATATGCATTTGCAGCCTCGAATAATTTACACCGTCCAGAATTTCGAGCGAGTTGCTGCAGTTATGCGCGCTGCGCAATGTCATCACGCAGTATATCGACGATTGTCCGAAATTCACAATATTCAATATATTTTTAAATTGTAGATATATCTACTATTTTATTTTGGTATTTTATTCCGATTCCGCAAACGCATCGGCTATCTCAATATTCGTTATTCGGAATTATAGAAAATTAGTTTAAAGCATGTACTTTTAAGTACATGCACTTAAAGCATGAAATATACATTATTTTAATTAATTTATTGATTGATAAAACAATTTGTATACGAGGACAATTCTACAGTCGTCATTAATTGCATCTGTAACGAAGTCATACTTTAATTTATTTAAAAATTGCACGCGCTCTTTATGTATTACATTTTAATTATAATTACCGATTGAAACGAATCGATAATGTATACGTTCGTCCTTATAGTAAAATAACGAAGGATATGAATTTGAGTTTGAAGCAATAAGATAAACGACAGCGCGGAGAAAAAGTATAGGCAGCGTAAAATCGACGTGGACACGTGAAGAAAGGTGTACACGTGGAAGTCGAAGTCTAAGTTTACATGTACGACGCACGGTCGTGTGTCCCAGCCGGCAGTGCTCTCGCTTCTGGCTCTATCGATTTAGGACGACTCTACGTAACCGCGACAACCAGTCGGCTCGTATACACACGGTCTCTCTTCCGCGTTATGCCTTTTATTACATTGTCGCAAAGAATCTTTAGGGTTTGCGATCGCCGATGCCATGTCGTGTCTTTCCGAACTTTTCAACCGCGCTGCCTTCATTTCGTTTTGCTTCACACCTGCTGGCGAATCAATGGCTTATATGCAGTTGAAGATAAAAAATTGGCTGCACTAACGAAAAAAATTAATTAATAAAAGCATTCATTTCGCGATATATACGAATTGAATCAACATAGCTAAATAATGAACCATTTCATATCGCTCTTTGCGTCTCACAGTTGTCGATTGTCATTTCGTAAGTCGTAATGAGTCGTAATGAGATTTAATCGACTGTAGCTCTGTGCATGGCCGATTCTTATTACAGCTCATTACGAAGTTGCACGTGCAATTCTGTGTGCAGGCCGGCCTCGGCTGTGATGAAGCACACGCCAGGAGAGATGGTACGAAAGTACGCGAAACTGTCCTTGACGCGCCTATCGATTTTCTTCAGCATCTTATTTGGTTGAAGAGCAGTAATACATTCTCAGACTCGGAAATTCACTTTTTTTTTGTAGTGCCCCCGGCTGTTGAACTTAACCACTTTCGTAATGGGCATGATATGTATATCATACGCAGCTGACATTATTATAATATAAGCATCGACGATGTTTTAGGAAATAACATGATGCTCTTTGTGAAATTTCAATCTCACTGTAGAAGACATAAAATATTATTAAAAGGTTTATTAAAATAAACTTTAGGCGGTGGATTATGGCGTTATTATCAATTTGACATTTAGTCATCAAAGATGTTTAATGCGAGAAGTTAAAAAATTGCGAATAAAATAATAATAATAATAATTTTTTTTATTTTTAAGATATATGAAATAGCAATATGAATGACTTCCGCCAATCTCAGGCTATAATATTGTTTTCAATGACATGTTTTCGCTTTTGCTAATCACCGAACACATTTTCCATAAATAGATAATCAAGTTACGTTAGCGAGAAGAAGCTTGAGATATATATAATCATCTTCGATCTTGATTGCGTGCTGCGAAGCTCGACCCCGAACTTGTCCGGGCTTACTACGTAAACGGGAAGGAGTTATGCGGGCGTCTGTAATATATATAATCCCCCTCGCTCTCTAGATAATAACGGAATAACGAAGAGCCGAAGTGGAGAGACGCGACGCCTACGCGCACAATATTGTGCTGGCAAAGTCAATGAGGTGTAATTGACTGATTTAGAAGTAATAGGGTGCACCCACCTCGACGGAGATCGCGTCGCGCAATCCAAAACCGAGCGAGATTACGTCACTCCCCCCCGATTCGCAATTCGTCGCTACCGCATAATAACGTTGCGTAATCGAGCCTACAATGTTCACCGAGCGGATTATATCTCCGGAGTATATGGCTGGGAAGAATGGAGATTCCTGTGAGGCGGCGACGCGAGAGTACAATTACGCGTCTAAATGAAGTAAACGCGGCAACGAAACGACTGTTTAGGACGATTTCGTTATACGAAAAGAAAAAGCAAACGCGACGCGTTTAAAGGTGGACGTAGAAAATAAGGATCGTGGCGTTGCGCTCCTAATTCGAGCGTGAAAGAGTTGTTGCTCCATTTAACGCAAATTCAAGAAATCGTTGAGAAATTGGCTGCGCTGCTTCGCGATAATAGGTTTTTCTATTATTAATAGATGTGGGACGCTATTGACGTAAAAGCGTCGTGACGCTAGGATGTGCCAGTAAAATTGACGTCGAAGTCTCACATCACGATACCGATCGAACCGCTTCTTTAATTATCAATGAATTACGTCATGTCACCTGTCGCCTGCGGCGAAAATGTCAAGTAAGGATGAATCCGTTTGGCGAAAGATGCGCAATAGATAAATTATAGAAGCATCTATGTAGATCATCTCGATTCAAGGTTAATTTTCTAACGAGAATGTACATATATACACGTCCCGGAAGATCGGGGGATTAGGGACAATAGCGAATCGGATGTGGGAAGTCAAGTTCTGCGACGTATTGCGAATCAGGGATGTGACGTAATTTCGCTCTGTTTTAAATTGTTCGGTCCGAGATAAATTTTATTCAATCGAAATGAAAGAATCTCTCTTCTCTGCTGCAATTTACATTACATATTTTCGCGATTACAAAACTTATATCTCATTTGACGAGGAAAGAAATCGATGATCAATATTATTTTAAAATTATCTTCTCTGTTGTCTCTTCTTATATTGCTATTTGTTACATGTGCATTGAAATGGCAACAGTAATTTGCATTAATGATTTTTAACATCATTAATTTGCAAGTAGAAGTTGATGGTACAATATGTCCCACTGACATTGGTGAATTAGAGAAAATGACCGTAAAATGAATATATAATAATATCGATATCACCATTTTCCACTCACACACATACATACACACACGTACACACCCATATAAATATAGTAAAATAAACAAGAAATGTTATTTCGCATGTAATTTTGCGTCTGTTAAAACAAATTTCACTCGCGATTTAACATAACTCGGTCTCTCTTTTCTTGATCTCGACAGTTCTTAGGAATTTTCTTCGTAATCAGAATTACGGAATTACGGAAATCTTTCTAATGAGATACACACCGCTAGAGACATAAACATTTTAATAAATAATCTGTGAAGAAATGATGCTAAATAGAACTCGTTGCAGCTACTTCTGAATTTATAGCTATAGTTTTTAAAAAATTGCTATCGTTAGCGTTTCACATAAATGTAATGCAATTGCCTCCTTTATCTAAATTTATAAATAATATGCATATGGTAGTCAGTCGCGAAATTAGCTGTCTTCATAAAATATTGCACGATATTTCACAAAATTATTTCTTTTATTATTTATAAGGAAATTTGGAGATTTTCTTTAGCGATAATGTTAATAAAGAGGTCATTTATCACATCTCTTCAATTTTAATTACATCAATAGCTCTAAAAATATATATTAGTATATGGTATTCATGTTTTACATGTTTTTTGTAACGTATAAATAATTTGTTGAATAATATAAGACTTTACGTTCACAAAATATCACACAAAGTGATATTCATTCTTATTAACGTCATATGGTTATCCTTTCAATCTTGAAGTCTTTTGCATATAATAAAGATTATTATCGACATAAAAATTTACATTTACTGCAAATTGTATTTTAACAAAATTTCTCAATATTTTAATATTCTTCCTGGTTAATGGGATATAATCTTATAAATTGGTAATTAAAGCTGTATTAAATGAAACAGCAGTTGTTTCAATATTTTAATAATTGTATTTGTATAAGTTGAAGTTGTTAATAGTTGAAGTATCTTTGTGAATCAAATTTTCAGAGAATATATAGATATCTATTGATTGATTTCAGCTGAAATTTATTAATAAGAAATTTAACTTGAAATTCAACAGCTATAATATCTGTTATTTGATATTAGAAAATTGCCGTATAAATTTACTGTATAGTCGATAAAGGACATTCGTACGAAACGAATAATCTATATGTCACTATAAATCTTTAATTTAGTTCTCGTCGTTTCATGTGGGTCAATCAATTGAAAGGTTAAAGTAAAATGTAGAGATTTCTTAGTAAAATTTTACGATTATATATAGAAGAGCAACGAAATATATTCATGTCACGTAATTTAATATTTTGGCGCAAGTGAGAATAAAATTTCTTTCAGTAAAAAAGCTCCGGGAAAAAATAATAATGTATATTTTCTAACGTTATCAGCTAAAAGCCACGTATGACTTTTAGCTCAATTAATCATGTCTTGATTACCTTACAATATGACAAAGTAATAAAATAATGTATAAAATGATAAATAAGATAAATTTTATATATAATATATATTTGTAATATAAAGAAATATGTAAATAATTTTATGTTTATTTTTCGGTTTTTAAGAATTTTTAATAATTTAATTCATTTATTCTTTTCATTAAATGTGTTATATGTACGCGTGTATGTTGTTATATTTATATGTTATTCGCACATAACAACTGTTGTAAAGAAAAAATTGCTTTTCCGTGCTGCATTTTGCAGCGATATCTGAGAGTAGAAAGCATTTCGCGGAATCGTTGCTTCTACGAAGACACTTCAACTATGTAGTTTCTATTTCATCTCTAGAGCTTTACCTTTATGACTACATCATATGTAAAAAGGGGGCCAGATGCAAAATTTACAGTAAAGAATCTTTGTGGAGTAGTAGTTCAGAAAATAATTCTAGAGAGTAAGAAAGCTCTCTCTCTTTGTTCTATACGATTGTCCTCATTCACAACAAGTTTATAGGCATTTTGATACTTCTCTCTCTCTTTCTCTCTCTCTCTCTCTTAATATATAAAGATTTAAATATTATTTTGATTAATAAACAAAACACGATCTTTATCGCTTGCGATGAATTGACAAATTGTTTCAAACAATGAAATAAAGCATTATGAAGAGTGGCATGCACGCTGCGAAATGTGTATTATTGGCGAGCATTTGCACAGGAAGAATTGCTAGCAACAATCAAGAGGATGACGCGAGATCCACGTTTAAAATAGATCTGTTTCTACATTAACGTCAATTATAGCGATAACAATGTTTCCCTAGCATATTAATGTTTCTGTTATAGCATGAAATGTAACTAAAATATCATCAGATACATTTAATATTGCATTTAATGAACAAAACGAGAATAAAAAGGGAAACGAAAGATGAAACTTTGCGTAAATATTGATCCTACGACATCTCATTCGTGCGTTACGTCTTCTTAAGTTTCGGAGAGGAAGATCTTTATGTCAAGCACAATATTGCGAGAGAAACTCTTATTTGGAGTTCCTGTTTACATGGATGCTGTACAAAGATTAAAGTGATTAATTGACAGTGAAAGAAAGAGAGGAAAATCTAGATATATTAGAACGGATGTTTATATAGTGCAATGCGATATCTGTGCAAGAAAAATTTAGTGAAGTACGATTGAAAATAGTAGTTAATTTACAAAAAAAATTCATGTTTTTTTTCAATTTATATATGCATACGTTTTATACTCATATTTTTCCAATTTTTGTTTAGCACGAAGTTGACTTTACTCGTGCAATTTCAAGTTAACTTTACATTGGGATTGTCGTACAGGAAGAGAACCGGAATTGGTCGATCAAAGTTACTTGAATAGAACCGTAGTACTATTGGTGCAACAGATCTGTAAACAAACGCGACTCTCGCGATCTACGCGTCATGCACACGTGGACGTCCGTCCCTCCCTCCTCGTGCACGGAGGAGCGCGATCAAGGAGCGGTGCAACAACACGCGGGTGGGAAAACATTGCGATGTTCTTACTTACTCGCTACATCAGGCGAGGGTAGCAATCTCTCACAGGAACTTTTCTCTTTTTTCATTTCCCTCCCGACTAATCGCGCCGGGAGATCCCTTCCAGCAAAGAAAGGGCGTCCCTCGCCGAGGACACCGATAGGTTGAGAATAGTCGACGCGATTGGCCGATTCTCCCTTTTTTCTCACGATCGAAAGCGCGACGCGTCGATAGGGGTGCGTGGTGATCGAGATACGCGCTGGTCGTCGTCGTAGGGTCGTTTGGGGCGACAATTTTCGCGGCATCGTACCCGACGCGAGATTACTCCTCCCTACGTACGCATGATCACCAATCCCCTCCGCCTTCCTCTTGCTATCCCTTGCAAGTGCTTTCTACTACGAGCTTGTGAGCGGAGCCGAGCGGAAATGGAAGTCGACGACGATCGACCGTCGCTACCCGCGTCGCTCGGTCGACTGACTGGTCTGACTGGACTACCTCCCCGTACACTCGGAGATTTTATTCCATCCCCACCAGCATCTGCCGCCGCCGCCGCCGACAAACCCCCACTCGTGACACCCACTCACGATCCGACGTAGGTGCTCGGGGGTGCGTGAACGTTGAGGGCGAACGCAAGCCTAGTCGTTGACCATGTAATTGATAGTTGACCGTATCATCCAAAGATCAATTAAAGGTCTGTTCCTCATGACAAAAATAATTGTCTAAAAAGAGCAATGTTGGCTTAACGTTATTAACGTGTTATTGACAGCCGAGCCTGTCACCTGGATAATTAAAGAGTTTTTTGTTAAAGTGCTAGTTATTTTACGGTGCAACGATTTTGCCTTAAATTCATGATCATGTTGTAATTCCAGGGTCATTTATTATGCCCCTGAAATTATAATATGAGATTGATTAAAGTCAAATTATTCACATATTTATACTTAATTTTGCTTATCTTCGGAGAAATAACGATTGTGTTTGATTTATTTTGATTATAACTCCTTCGAAACAATCACTTTAGAAGTCAACTGAGAAAAAGAGGTATATGCATCTTTGAATAATATCCGTATAGTGAAAAGTTTTAAGTTTTAAACCCCTCAATTACCTGAATCAACTCTTTTATGTAACTAATAACTATACCCAATTTAAGCACCCCCAAAGTACTTACGGACAGATTCTCGCTGCCTATAGAGATATGAGAGGACTTACGTCTCAAACTTTGTTCAAGGCTGAGAGTCTCACAATGTGCCAGCATTTGAAAAGTTTCACCTTTATCATAAAAACTTCCGAAATTTCTTTCTTTTTTTGGTGAAACATTTCTTGTTCCTAATTTATTTATTAACAAATGATTATTTTTGACCTTTTAAATAAAATGTTAATTATATAATATACAACGATTAAATTACATCTTAACAATTTATTTGCTTTCTTGATTATGGTTTTTTTTTTAAACTCATCCAAACTATCTCTGCAAAGTTAGAAATATTCCATTTTCAGGATTGCGACATGATCGATAGAAATCTATTATGTCAAAGTTCTGAAAATGGTCGCTAACTTTACGAAGATATACGGACTAAATTTCTCTCGTACGACCAACCACTTTACACATCGCGTGAAAAATTTTCCTCGTCTGCGGACAAACCAGTTTTCAAGTTTATGTTCAAGGTTACGGGCGAAATAGCGGCGTACTTACGTCACGAGCATCGATTCGCGAGCGTTCGTTGACCCACCTAATTCTAAGTGATCGTGAGCGTATCATCGTCAGTTTCGTGAGTAAGACGGTCGCTGAATTCGCCCACTCGCGAGACCTTGCCTGATACATCCTGCATAAATCCTTCGTGACGGTTACCGCTATACCTAAAAAAGCAAGCCTCCACAATGGTCGCTTTGCCGCACTTTTTCCCCCAATGTCGAAACTTCAACATGATTGACCGGACACGGTCGACCGTATTGCGTCTACGTCATTTCTCGGATACGATCTATCGATCGTCATTTCAGGCGGTTAAAAGCTTGAGACATTGAAGAGAAATAGTAGCACCTGTCCAATCATGTTGCGCGGACTTTTCGCCGCAACATTCTCTCTCTCTCTCTCTCTCTCTCTCTCTCTCTCTCTCTCTGTTGTCGCTAATTAAAAAGTTCCGCGAGCCGCACTAACGATTCGTACTGTTCCAGTCGAACTCGGCTTGGGAAAGTTTTATTCACGCACACAACGTTGGCCATCACAGCTGTCCACGTTCTCATTTTGCAATTGTGATAGTATAGCGACCATTGTAATAGTTATAGTTAATAACAACACTTCGATTAACCGGCAGTGTGTACGTAATTTTCGTAGCTATTGGAAAAACAAAGTTTTCAACGAAAACAGCAACGAATAATAAATCTAATCTCTCACTGAATTATAAATTATAAATTATATACTTTCGCGTTGACGTTATTGGAATTATTGATTTTTTTTAAATTTTGTCGCTGATATTTTTAATCAATCGCTGTAGATTATTGTAAATTGAAAACATGTATGCTGATATATTACTTCCAATTGTTCAAAGGCTGTTACTAATGATATCGATAATCAGAAACTTCCAAACGTTTATTGATAATGAAATGTAAATGACTATGCGAGCGATGAAAAGTTATTTTAAATGAATGATTAAGCTTAGCGAATACCACATTGAGAATAATCTACACATTAATATTATTTTTGCGCTTTAGCAGATCTTATGAAAATCCTTCAAAATTGGATGCACCATAAATTAATTCCTAAGTATATCCACATGTAACATTGCCCCAGTTACTGGCTTAATTATGTAGCAACGTAATAAATTCTTGAACGCGCCGTAAACGTAAACAACGTAGAACAGCCAGAATAGAAGGCGATTAATGCAGATATTATTAGTATCGTGATACTGCATGCTCCTCTCTTTTCAGACTAATTAACGTTCAATTGCAACAACAATTATCAATTCAATGTCAACAGGCTGTATCGTTCGAGATACTCTTGAATATTTGAACATGAGAAGTACTCACATAATTTGCAGTTATATATTAACGAGCCAATAAAAGCGTGACACGGCAAACTGTTGACACGCAGAATTAATCTATAAACGACACACGGCGCTGCAAACTGCGTCGCCACACTCTCATCGATCACGGCTGCTTATACAGGTGTAGCTTGTACACAAGCTCATACGGACGCAACGTATTATTGCCAATTTATCAAATGCTGCTCCTCCTTCGTATTGAACTAGACAGTATACAGATTTAATCTTAGTCGGCAACGACGAATACACATAGTTATTGACTGGATGAAGCAGATCGAATTTTAATTTGATTGAGAAATTCCTCTTCCGCAATTTGTTCCTGATTTTTACGTATCCTCGTCACGTAACTACTTGAAAATGTAATTAATCCTGAATTTAGCAAGATTAGAAGACACTAAATTTACAAGGAGATATAGTAAAACTTGTGTAAAAAATTCACATTCACAGATTGCTTGAATATAATTAATGAAAGTTTGAAAATTTTATTTAAATAATTAAAAAGAAAAGGTGATTTAAAGTTATCCTTGAAAATCGGTATAGTTTTACAGCAAGGAAAATTGATCTCACATCGATCATATTACCAATTATCAAATATCTGAAACATACGTGACTCTCGCGTCGTTTTCTCGGCGATACCAACCGCACAAATCAGTCATCGGTTTTAATAAACCTCGTCCCCGGAGATGTCGGCACGCGATCGCTCGTGTAACAGGCGATATTTCAGCATGATCGGATTACAGGTAGGTAGTGAAATCGCGTGGGGAGTAGTAGACCGTGGACGAGAAGAGTACACCGATCGTCGGGGACCATCGACCGTCGGTCGGGCTCGAGAAGAGATCGAATCTCAATTCGGTAGAAATGAAATTCCTCGCGGCCGACCTCCGCTCTTCGCGCGGCGTCCAACTCGGTAAAATACCGCGTAGCCGCTCGCTGTGAATTCGCGAGATACCGGATCTTATGCATTTCCAATAACGCATCGCACTCCATTGCTGTGCATTGCCGTGCATTTTTCGCGCAGCCAACAATATATTTTTTTTCTTTTTCCCTCACGCTTTCCCGTTCTCCGGTAACTCGAGAATCTCGTCTTATTAAAAATCCGAAGCGTAAGTCGTCGAGTTGCCGTCGTCGGGAAAATTAAAAAATAAACTATAATATCGCGACATTACGCTACGGTATTCGAAGAAATAGGAGCTGATTCTGATTTCATAATACGTTTTAATTTGTTTGTCAAATCTGTTTTATTTTATTATGGGTATACATAAAAAGTAATATAGATGTTATAAATACGTAAAAAATGTGACATCACGTTTGTGTTAATAATAATTTAAATCAAAGCTATTGAGAGTCGGAGTGATCCTTTCAAATAATTATTTACTTAATATCATCTATTTGCGTTTCTCATGTTTAATTCGTCAAAGCTTTTTCCTAAGAGGTAGAGGCTACGGAAGGCATACTGCTTTTCACTCTTTAATATTATACTGTTTTTTGCTCTTTAATGTCTCAATTAAACGGGAAGTGAATCTGCGATGTTTAGTAAGCGATTTACGTCAAGACGAATCTAAAATTTTTAGGATACTTGCTTAATCATAATTATATTGCACGTGAAAGAGCAGCTTTTGCTCTTCATATATTATTTACACACGTTTGAATAAACGATAGATCGTCCTATTTCCTCCTGTAAGGAGTCGGATAATCCGTGAGAAGGCTGCCGGTGGAGACTATGGCTCCCGGTCCGCCGAGAATGCCGCCTTTGTTGGCGAACCAGCCGTTACCGCCCAGAAAACCGGCCGGTTCTAATCGATTCGTGTAGAAACCAGAGTCAGTCGGACTCAAGAAATGCACTAGGCCGCCGGGTACACTTGTTAGTTGCTTCGCCGTCACATTTTGTAGCACATTGATGCCCAGATTGTTTAGCGTCTCTTTCAGTAGCTGCAGGCGATCCTGCAGGAACGATTGTGGCGAGAACTGGACCTTCTGTACGAACGGTGTCAGAAACCAGGAGAGCGGAGAACCCGGTCTTATCGTTGAGTTTTCCTTATACTTGCCGAAAAAATTGATTTCAAGTTAATGTTTTTGAGTGCACTGTTATGATGTTTCTTGATATAGAGAGAAATTATGAAATTATATAGGACTTTTTTATTTCCCAAGCAGAAATGATCGGTCCATAAACGTCGATTCGATGTCTATAGACGTCGAATCGTCTATGGATCGATCATTTCTGCCTGGGTTAAAGTTTTTATTAAAAACTAAAATTTAATTAAAAATATTTTTATTGTAATATTCACGAATATTTGTATTGCAAAAACTTGTGTAAAAAAATGTATTGCATATCTAATATATATGTGAGTTTTTCCGCATAAAGAAAAAACAATGTAAGAATTTAAGATTTGTCTATCATTATCAACTTAATTTATCATATTTCAATTATATAGGTATGCTAATATTATAAACATATTAATACTATAATCATATAATCTTAATTATTGAATGCGTTAAGTGATAAGTGACAAATTGATTTTAATTAGTTGGACCAAATTGACAACGAGTAATTTCTGCAAAGGGAATTGGCGAATAGAACTATCTCAATTAGATACTGAAATAATTTGATAGTTAAAACCTATTAAAATTATAATTAATTATCGATTAATGGAACTATGGGACGTCACTGTCTTACAGAGAAGTTGTAATCTAGCTTTAATTATAGATATCAATTTGCAAAGACCCTTACGGACTGTATGGTCGTATCGATCGCAGTACCAGCTGCCGAGTCTGCAGCATCAGTTTGCGATGTCTCCTTTATTGATGCCTCGTCCGTCGGCAAAGCAGAATTCCGTTGTTGTTTCCTCAATCCGGATGATTTTGTTTGAAGCTTCGTATTATCACTATCGATCTCATTGATAGATTCGTCGATTGATAAATTCAACGGTTTCGCTTGTGCTATTACAGCCTTTACAAATTTTTATTTATTTTCATTATTGCACGACAGTACATATTTTTGAAGAATTAGCTAATTTATACTTAATATAATGTCTGTATGCATTCGGCTATGTCATTAATTTCAAGCACGTATTTGTTAAGCTCAAAAGGCAGCTTTAAACTAAAATTGTAGAGATAAATTTAAAATTATATTAGAAAAAAGATATAAACATAAAGAAAGTATTCTTCAATTTTTAAATATTTTATAAACAGTACTAATTTTTATATTTATTTATAAATGAGAGTAATTATATAATAATAAATTTAAAAAGACAAATTTAATTTACGTTACGTAATAAATTTAGAACTTTATTTAATGAACAAATTTCATATTGATAAAATATTATATTAATTTATAAAAATATAGATTAATATTGACAAAAAATAACGAAATTCTATATGATATGCCGTCAAGTTTAGAAGCGAATTATGGGTTAACATCTTACCGCTGCAAGTAACAGCCACATAAATCTTGTCGTTTTTGTCATCATTAAATAGAATATTGTCGCAAGGAAGCTCTGACAGCGTTCCACGTATAACTTATTCCCGCGATATAGAATACACCGGTTAGAATTCACGAGCAACACATCGTATATATGCTTAACGCCGTTTATATATGCCGTCTCACGCGTAATAAGCAGAACGTAATCACATAAGGGCACCCACATGTGCACGTTATAGCGGCAGTCGCAATCATGAAATGTATTTCGTTGAGAAACAAATCGCGAAGAGAAATGCTCCCGTTATTGCGCGGCACGCAGTCCTAGTTTCGTTGAAAATAAACATTTAGAGTGCACAATCATTGCTCGAACCATTGAACGACTCAAGAATTCTACACACACACACACACACACACACACACACACACATATATATGTGTGTGTGTGTGTATATATATATAAAATTGTGGCACGATATATTATTTGAAATCGTCTCGATATTTGCCTCAATATCGTTAGCTCGACAATTGAAAATTTTTTTGCTTTCTTGACAATAATTGTTATAATATACGAAGAAAAATATTATCTATTTTGACGTTCTGGGAAAAATCAAACGATTTTCTTACGTTCTTTTCCAAATAGAATATATGAATATTAACGCTGTTTTTGTTAACTTTGCAATGAACGTTTGTATCAACCTTGCACTAAATCAACATGCTGAACTAATTGAAGATGCAACAGCAGCGAAGCGAACGATGACTTGGATAACAGTCCGTGTTTTATCTTACGATATGCACGAATATATTTTAACGATAGATACGAGAAATTTGATACGATAATGAACGGTGAAAACTGAGGAAAATTCTATTTTGTGTTTATAAACTGTTTATATGAATAGAACAAAAATAATTTTTGTGTAACAATTTAATAACCATGCAACAGTTAATGAATACATATTATAAAATCTTACATTAAATATTTGGTAATTTTAATTAGTTCCTCGCTTTCAGTACATTTTGGCGTGATATAAAGTTTTAAAGCAAAAAGAATATTTTATTTTAGCTGCCTGTTTTATCACGTTAGAATAAACTTTTTGCTTTCAGTGCGAAACATTTTTAATGCGAGGAACTAGAAATATGAGAACCCGAGGATTCTAAAATCTCTCTCTCTCTCTTTTTATCTCTCGAATTTAAAACGAATTCCGTGATAACGAGCGATCTTCTATAAGACAACGACATTTTCAAAGTCGCGAACAGAACGATATGTGAGTCGTTCGAAAAACCGGTCGGATCATTTTTTTCGATTGTTCTGGGACGAAGTGCTGTAACCGACTCTCCTTGAAAGAGTTGTTTTCAGCCGAGAAATTTTACTCTTATTGGATCTTATTGGTTCTCGCGAAATCGTCGTGAAGGTCACAACTTCATCGATTCATCGTGGTTAATTTAAAGTAGAGGGAACATATATCCAAAATGTAGAAACGATAGAAATTTCCAAAGGCTTTTAAAAGAAAAAGTTTCGAGATTACACACGGAAAAAATTGCTATGGATGTTACAACAAATATTCTCTAAGTTTGTAAAAGAAATGCATGTGAATTTTAGTTATATTGATGTTACATGGTGTACATCTATTAAGGTATGTTCATCAGTACGGTTGTCACAACTATAGTGCTAGGATAAATAATATTCGGTTAGAATATCTTCACATATGTGGTTACCTCAATCGAAGCATTATTGTTATCTCTCTAATGTAGTCTGCCCAACAAATAATATGATTGAGAGATATATATGATATAGCTGTACGTCACAACATTGAAGCTGAGAGTTCAGTTAACTACATAAGTCACTTCTAAAGTATTTTAATTCCTGTAATCCTTTTGAATTGATGGGCGAAAATTATTACGTTGTGGCAACAGTAATTTTTTTTTCCGTGCAAAAAAAATGATAAGGGAGACATAAATAGAGGGCTATTATAAATTTTTCGATTATGAAAAGTTTGATATATTTTTATTCGAAAATCTTGCAATTTTCGCATTGATCTCATTGTGTTTAAATCAGTTTTTACCGAAGTCGCTCACTTGGCAAAAAAATAGACTTTGTGCCTATGAAGAAAAAGTTAGAACGGCAGAACGTAACAAAAAAAGCGCGATTCTGTCGCTGAAAAGGATGAAGTGATTGAGTTATTAAACCTCGAAGTTGATTAAAACGGAAAATGGAAGAGGCGAATACAGCTATGGGAATAACTAGGTTATAGATCAGCGACAGAGCAATACGTGCGCAGAGTACGAGTATATATTTTCACTACGTAAAAGCATTTGCTAAAAGTTGTGTATTTGTTATCTTTAGCTTTTTATTTTTGCTATTTTACTAAATATCGACTTTACATGAAGTATAATAATTTTCAAATATAATAATAGTATATAATGATAAATGTAATAAAAATATATAATGATTTTTAAAAGTAGTTAACAATTTTATTTGCAATTTTTTAATTATTTCAGACATAATTAAATAATAGATATTATTAATAAATATTAAATTTATTTTTAAACTGGACGAAAAAATTGGACTTGAAAATTATTAGTATTCAGGATATAATGTTACTTTACATAAATTGTTCCAACAATCCGTACATGAACTGGTTTATGCACTGTGCTGCTGGTATAATCCGTATATTCCATTTAGAGAAAGATCGAGGACGAGTGCATAGCGGAAAGTACGTCGGCTCCTTGTCTCGAAACGTGGACGGCATACGGATGATGGCTTAGTTTAGGCACATGCTGTGATTTACCCATCGGCACCAATAAGCACCGGTTCGCGGCCGCATGTGCGCCTAGCCGGCTCGTCACGCAATTAACAATCTTGTACAGGGACCCGCTCGTTTACATACGCGATCGCGTTAGAGTGTGGAGGTGTGCGACGCCGAGGACGACCTGGGACCGTTATGAGTCTTTTCGAGACCAGTCTTGTCCCAACGGCCGCCCGCGAACCTCGTTATAGTCCGTGAAAATCATCAATTTCTCGACGATCGTCTGAAACCTTCGGAAATATATTTTTTCGTAGAATGATATAGAAATATCTCAGATCAGAAGTGTTTGAACTTTTTTTAAGTCATCTCAGAATTGTCTGAATATCGATTCTTTCGACTTGAAATCTTTCAAGGTTAGTGTAAAACGTCTTACATCGATTTTGACAGTCTTAGGCTTTTAAATCTTTTTCGAATGGTTCTTGAATTGTGAAAGTTTATGCTAAAGAGTAATAGCAAATTTGTGCACTTTTATAAAGTGGGTACTTGAAGAAATTTTATTTTACATCGATAAAAGAAATATTTCACCATGAAGATATTATGCAGTTTGATGATGGTAATGATACTACGGCAGGTAAGTGATATTGATTGTTACAATTTATGTTGTTAATATTTGATATTGCATATCAGTGATGTATTGCGTCGTTTAGCGTCATTCGTATATCAAATTGCACGAAAATTGCAATTTTTATATCTCAACAAATTGAAAACATGAAAGCGTTATTATTATTGAAATTTATTGTTTGAACAAAAATTAAAATGTCATGAAAAGTGTATTTATTTCTGATTCAATTTGTAATGTTAATTTTACAACAATTCCCAGCTTTAAATATCACCATTAACATTTAACGTCACGGTAATAATGTTCTCGCCTAATTTGCGTTTAATGTGAAATATTTCCATATAAATACGCGTTTATATATAGCCATAATCGCGGCTAACGGCTCAGAGAACTACGTATATTCGCGTGCTTTAGCGGAAATGTTAATTAAAATTCCTCGTTGCTTCAGGCTATCGCTGGAATCGTTAGGAAGCCGCCGGCCTTTTCAACACCAGTGTATTCAAATTCGTACCTCCCCGCTGCCATGCAGGTGAGTCATTTTACTTGATTACTAAATTTGATGAGAGATTCTGAACATTGAATGCTTTCACACGTGATCGCTTCTCATCTCGTGTAATAATCCGGAAATATTTTACGCGTTCATATTTCTTCGTTATCATGTTTAATTTGCATTTTGTAATTTCATCACATTTAATAATTCTTAGTAGCGACATTATTAATTTCACAGTTTTTTCTCGGAAACTAAAAATCGATAGCTAGTTTTATCATATTTAATAATTCTTAGTAGAATTTTTTATCGGTAAATAAAAATTTGAATAACTCTTATATAATTTTAATATAATAAATTTTAATTTTTAATATAGTATAATAAAATATTTAATAAGATGATATAAATTAAAATAATATAAAAATTTATATAAATGTAAATTTATGGATTTGTCCTGTATACTTATTCGTATATCTCTATTTATTTTAGTAAAACGTCATATGCATTAAGTTTTTGAAAAATATGTAATATCTATAAAGCCAATCCATTTATGCGATCTATTTTTGAATCAGGTAATTTTTCATGCGGTCGAGCAACTGAAACTGCTCCAAGCGGAAGAAATATCGCAGGTAGAGGTAGAGTTAGCAACTTCCTCATCGATATCGACAACCCAATCTATGAAGAAGGATCAGCAATCGCAATCGACGACGCCCGTGGGAATTTCCATAATTTCAACTGCTTCGACCGCGAAAGTGCATGACGAGAGGATAGAAAGTCCCACGATGTCAACTTCGACACTGGCGAGTCGAGGATCATCCAAGACTAACGACGATCCGACCGAAGTCGTTCAACGCTTGGCCACTTCGACGGCGAGCGTTGTATCCGATCACAAAGAGACGCCAGAAGTGAACGAGGAGACGACCGAGAAGAATTATGAATTACAGGCCACGCCGGAAACGAATCACGAGTCACCGGAGCCCGTGCAGGAGACTCCGGAGTCGAATCAGGAAATCCCGGAGCAGAGCGAAGGAAAATTCTCGAATACTGAACGCTCCTTCCGCAAGGTATCAATCCAAACCCAAACTCCGCAATACAACGATGCGTCGCGACAACAATCGACACAGGCTTCTGTCACGCAAGTGTCGGATGACCAGAAGAAGAAGGAACCGACCGTCGATAGTGTCGTGGATGAAATTTACGGAATCGTGAAGACAACCACATCCCTCTTCAGCGAGGAATCGGATGACACCGACGAGTCGAAAAGCGTGGAAATATCAATCGAAAAATCAGAAAAAATTGAGGACGAAGAAGAAGACACAAGGTGATAAATTTTTCACTATAAAATTATAATGTCGTACCAAGAAGAATTGTGCTTGCTATTGGAGAAAATTCAACGATAGAATCTTATAGAAGCTATATTTGACATTATTAAAAAAATAATTTTATGAACATTGCGTTTCTATTTAAAAGTATCGAATTCTTATTTTTGAAAATAAAAATAAGTAGAACGTATAATTTTTTAAATACGATAATTAAATTAAAAAGAACGATTTAATGTAATTGACTCTAAAAAAGACTTCACGAAAAAACGTGAAAGCACATACACTAATTTGATCTCAGAAAGCACTAATAAAAAGTGCATCTAATTATAAGACTTTTCTTTGCCTTTGTTCTGTGTCGCCGTAGGTTCTGTTTACTCGGTGAAAGAGTGGCCCAAGTGCCGCGTCCAAGTTTGAATCATTACTTGAGGCGTTCCAAAATACCGTCCAGGCCGTCTCTTCAGCAACTAGCGAACCTTTATGACGCTCTGAGCAAAGACGCGCGGAAGCAAGGATTCGCACGTTTTGCTGGCTACACGGACGAAGTCTTAAAGATTTTGCACACATCCGCCGAAGGTGGCGTCGGACCGCAGCTGAAGCAGCTGCTAGAGAAGGTGATAGAGAAGAACGAGCTCACTAGAGATGATGCCAAGTTGAGAACGTCGCAGGCGCTGCGTGATCTCGACAATCCTGCCAGCGCGCTCAGCAAGGACCTGAGACGTTTGTTACCGTTGCGTTATACGCTCTAATTTTTTGAAAGAGTTGCAGTATTCTTGGAATTTTTAGAAACGAAATACGAACATTGTAAGAAAAAGTTTATTTCCTTATAAAAAGAAAAAGTAATTATATCCATATAGATCATAGAAAGATACTGAATTTTCTAAATTCTTATTAAATAAAATATGAAAACTTAGGAAACGCGTATTTAATATACCTCATTGAAAATTATTTTGTTAATATTGTCTTGCGTTGAGGAGATTTTTTGAAATATATATAATTCTTATCTTATCTAAATAAAAAAAAGAAAGAGTGTCTTTTAGATCGTAACTCTTTTTTAGCCTGTCTCTGTGTGTGATGATAATAATGATGATGATACTGATTTTTCTTCGTACCACTTGGAAATTATTTTCATTGCTATGTCAATAGTATCATCTGAAAGAGAACGAATAAAATTTATTAGGCATTTTGAAAAGCTAGTAAAAAATAAATTTAAAATTTATTTGTTGCTTTGTGTAATTTTTTCTAAACGTGTTAGTTATTTATCCAAGGAGCAGGGTAACGTTAAAAGACAACATAGTGATGTCTGAAATCAAAATACGTGTGGACGTCATTATATCGTTTTTTGACACACTCTCTGGGATTGTACTTATATTATTTTTTTAGATATTTTGTTGTAAACTGCTTTGCTTAACTTAAATAAGAAAATATCTCAATAAAACAAATGAAATATGATCTGATTTCGATTGTCATCCATAAAATAGTTGATGCGAGACAGAGCAAGCAATTCATGTGCTTAGAACGATATAAAAGTAAAAAAGAGGAATAAATGAAAACCTTTCTTGATCAGATAAGAGTGATTGATATAGCATTTGCGGAAGATCATTACAAATAAGTAACTTTAATAAATAAATTTAATTAATAAAAAAAAGTACCTTACAATAAATACTTTAATATACCTTACAATAAATACCTTTTGCCTCTACTGGATAAAGCTTCGTAGAGAAAGTAAAAGGTCGTTCGACTTCGTGAAATATTCTATCGTTAATCTCGGTGATATTGAGCTTAGTTCTTTGTACCAGTGATTTCTCAAGGGCTTTTAGGAAAAGCTCCCATCTGGGCTTAAAGTAGTCCGCCATCACCCCCGACCATTGTTTGTTCGCATAGTCTCTAATCTCGCCATTTGGGCCCCACAGGGTGATTTGATTTCTTGCATTATATTCGTAAGATCGCCTCTCCTCCTCGTCAACGGCCATGTCTTTTGCCTGGGCTAGCCAGGTGCCCAGCAAGAAATTACTTCCTGATGCCAGAATAGACTCGAGATCGTCGAAAAGTTCTAACAGAGAGTTTGCGGACGTTCTACGGAATCGTTAATGAACGTAAAATTGTAAAGCGTTTTTAATATATATTGCGAATATTATATAACTATGAAACAAATAAAAGTAAAAGCCTTTCAATGCAATACTTTGAAAGGTTTTTATTTTTATTTTGTGATATTAATTATTTCAATAATTTTCTCTCCATTTTTTTTTTAAATTGCAATATTAAGCAGGAAGAACTGTTTGACAAAGTTGAAAAAATATTATATGTATAAAATAATTATAATATTGATATTGTATCAATATATACTCACCGAAAAGCAGTGATATTCTTTTTCTCATAGCAATCTAGTATAGTCATGTAAATATCGTCGGCCATTAACTGAAGAGCTTGTCTGGTTATATCAACCACATCATGTCTGTAGAGGGTATTATTTCCTCTACCGTATCTCGCTTTCAGAAACACGTTCCACGTCGCATAGAAATTTTTTCGATCATACCAGATCTGATTAAAGAAAATTATATTACATTATAATTTAGAATGTCAGTACGCAATTTAAATAATGTAATTTTAATAATTTCTCTCTCAACGTTCTCCAATTTTTACCAATTTCCATTTTCCGCTTAATTGTATCTCTCTTTATTGAATTTGAATATTAAGCTTTTGCATTTATGTTCACTCGCGTTATTGGAAATGCAATTATAACATTCTATCAATTATGAAATCTGTGCTGATTATTAATGTGTCTACCCATGGTGAAATATTTAAATTCGGCCGTCTGGTAATAACGTAATGTCCTCTGATTCTTTGTGTGCCGATAAAATTATAAACTGTTCTGCCGAGGTGTTGCCAAGCAGCCACCGCATATTCGTTCCATGCGCCGTACCTTCGAGTGGCGTAACTTTCGAACCTGCCGATCAATGATCCCTTTATCATATCAATTTAATGCTACAATCGGACGAGCTTAAGAAGCTCTTTACGCTTGAATCACGAATTAGAACTCTGTCGATAGATTATCGTGACGCGGTAAGATGTGAAGACGACTTCTTCAACGAAAACCCGGTCGTTGCATCTAGTGCATCGGAATTACATGAAATGCATTCTCACCAATTGTCGAGGTCGACGGGCACGTGACGATACGCCATTTCGTTCATCAGTTCGTAAATTACGTAGTTTTGGTTGATACCCTCGGGTGTCAGACCGGTTCCCACCATGGTACTGCCATTCATGTTTCTACCCTCGAATGTACGCTAAGAAAAGAGTTGATTATTATTTTTCAACCTATGTTAATTGATATATGATAGGATTTTCAAAAATCTTATTGTTATTAAAAGATTCGTGAACCTTAAATAAAGATATAAAATAAAAAATTATTTTTTATGTAAAGGATCGAAAACGAAAAAATTTATATGTATAATAATTTAATCACATTTGTAATAATGTATATAAGGAAAAAAAGATGATTTATTTTTTAATATAAAGCATTATGTAAAATAAAAGTTAGAATATTCATGAGAAAGAAAAAGAATTAATTATATTAAAGTTTTGAAATAATTTTTTAAATATTTTGGCATGTTAATGATAATAGTGAAAGACATCAACATTCTTGGCTTTCCTAAAAAGAACTGAGAGAAAAAACGATATAAGAAAATAGAGATTTCTAATATACCTGATTAATAATTTGCGCGGAGCCAAACATTCCTAAAGTGCCACCGAAATTATGCAGCATGCACCAAATAAATGGCTGGCCGTAATACGATTTCAATCGGACGTATTGTGGGAACTGTTCAGATTGTAGATCTAATACCAACATTCGTCCCTGCATTAATTTTAATAAAACAATTTAGCTGCATTTACGAGTGTTTGTAAAATGACGTGTACAAAAATAATTATAATATGTACAAAAATAGTTTTTTTTGGAGAGAGAGATTTTTATTAAAATACAGACCTAACAGATTTTTATTAAAATGATTAGTATTCTTTTCCTTATATTACATACTAAATTTGTCGTACTTTAGCGAGCCATACTAAATTTATTACATATAATAATTTAAATAATTATTATATAAATATTATATAATAATTTAAATAATTATTATATAAATATTAGTAAATTTGCAGGACATGAAGTATATTTTATTGCATTTTGCAGGAATAATTTATTTTATGCATTATGTAATAATAGCTGCGTATTTGCCAATAAAGTACGATCGCGATATATATTAATATTCCGAACTTACTGAAGGTACTGAGGTCAAGAAAGCTCTCACTCTGGACTTCGTCCAAAACGTGATGTCGTGCACGAACAGCCAAGCTTGCATTAACCTAGAAAATTCGATATATTTGATGTAGAAATACGATTACTGTGTATATATATATATATATATATATATATATATATATATATGTAATTAATACAATACTTCTGTCCAAAGTTTGTAGAATGAAACAAATTATCTATGTCCTTCAATTTATCTACTTACCATATTGCTTTGGAATCGACCGCGGTCATAGCTGAGAAAATCGAATTGCCAATGTTTCTCAAATATACAAGTTCACTGTTGCCGGGTTCGTTTTCGTTAAAAGTATCGCAATTATATATATGATCGGTACCAAACTCGTCGATGTACTGCAGCAACGAAATATTCTTATCTTCGCCTCATTATTCATTTCTCTATCGAAATTATTTTAACTCACCATTCGAAGAAATTTTTCTCCAATAGTCCGAAATAGTGGATCCGTCGGTTCTAACAGATAAGGACTGAAAATAACAATTATAACAGCAATTATATTTCAAAAATTAAAAATTTATTTGATTTAATTTATTAAAATTAAATCGCAAGTTCTGTTTGAGATATATTTTTATCCGATAAATGGTAGATACAGATATTAATATTCTGTATCTAAATATTTTTAATACTTCTGTTAGTTACATAATATTTTGCGCTACAAGGAATTATTTTAAATAATAACCGAAAGACAGAAAATCGCATGCAATATAACCAGATTATTTTGATCATACCAGCAATATTTGTCTTCGAATTTATTCCACGGATTGATCTTCGTCATATTAGCATTTGGAAAAAGTCTGGCAAAAGCTCGCGGCACGTGACCGGCGAAAGCCGGTAGTACAGGTATAATTCCGAGATCTCTTATTCTACGAAGAATCTGGTGTTGCAGACGTATTGTATAATTATGCCAATTTGATGATAATGGTCCACCAAAGCCACGAATATTGCCCATCCTCGCCCTATGTGATCGCAACAAATATATTCTATTGTATCCTTATTCATAAAGAATTTTGAGGAATATAAAACACTCGACCAGGGTAAGAAAGCAGGTCCACCCAAGTGCTCGTCGATCTCCTCTTTTGTCAGATTCAATTCTTGATACAGTCTTTGCCAGATCGCCTCTTGCGCAGTAAAAGCGAGGGCAAGATTAATTCCATTAAGGGCCATCCAATCGATGCTCTTTTCCCATTGATGCCATTGCCACCAGGTCGAACTATAACCCACAGTGCACACGTTCTGATAATATCTGAATCTGTAAAGTTACGGAATAACGTAAGTTATGCTGCCAAATAAGCGAATTATCACAAAAAATCAAGTGCTCTCTCTCTCTCTCTCTCTCTCTCTCTCTCACCTGTCGTTTGATATAATTTTAACTCGAACGTCCGGCAAGGTATTTGGCAACGAAATTTGCGTACCGTCCCATGATATATGAACATTGCAATAGTTTTTCAAGTAATAATGCAAACCCCATGTGATTGCCACTCCGGAAGTGCCGCGAATTTCGATTTCGCCTAGAGGATTTTTTGTTATCTGTCAAAAGTCATTCGACAATTGTATTACTACTTTGCAAATAGGTATTCATGAACAAACATGTAATTGGTTACAACATGAAATCGAAAGCAAATGCCGCACCTTGAAAGTATCTTTACCAACAGGCCCCAAATCGATATCCAGTATCATAATAAACAATTTAGATATCTTTTTGCCTAGCAATCTTTCCGCGACATCTTCAGCTGCTTTTGCCTGAATTTCTGGGGACGTGCGCGATTTTATATGGCCCAAAGTATCTTGAAACGCTATTCATGTTTTTAGACATAGTAAAATTTGAAGTGTTATTTTATGAAAAAAATTAAATTTTAATTAACGACTGATAAAAGACATAATGCGTGGTAATCTATTATAATTTATTAGTGGCATAATTAAACATTTTACAGAGTTCTTTATATTTATATTTTATATACCAAAAAGAAAGCGCACTTCGAAATAAAAGCGTAATATTCTACTTACAGTCCGGTTTGTGACATTGACTGAACGACACAAATAGTAAATATCCAAGTATTATTATAAATAATCGCAACGATGTTGTGATGTCCATCTTGATGAACTTCAGCATATCGACTGATGTATGAAAGTGGGAGATATAGAAGGAGTGCGTCGTTATCATCCCTACTCTTACTTTGGCTTTCTGATCTGAGATGAGGCTTCTGACGTATGAAAGTGGGAGATACAGAAGGAGTGATTATGCGTCGTTATCATCCCTACTCTTACTCTGGCTTTCTGATCTGAGATGAGGCTTCTGACCATATAACAACCTTCTCTCAATTACTTATAACGATACACTTACTCTCTAAAAGTGAATCAGTGAAATTATCACTAATTATCAGTGTATATTACCTGTCTCTTATA